GACCTCCTCCCGACCCGGTGATGACCTGTCATAAAATAAGCCTGCCCCAAAGTTTAAAAACTGTTTAGCTTCAAAAAAATTACCGGGTAATACTATGGCCCAAACCCCAATCGGTGCTTTCCTTTTGTTCAGTATGTATCAAATGAGTTAGATATCAGGTCTTTATAAAACTTAAGTTCCAGTGTCTCATAACTTGTGACCCCTTCGCACTCACTAGCAAAGACAAGCTGTCCTGAGATAATTAACTCTCCACTTTCTTCTCCAAATATTGCTGCAGACGTGCCACTCTGAAATAACGTCAATCTGCAGGATGAGAGTAATTTAAAAAAACACCGGGGGCTCCCGAGATTGTCAGAGCTAGGTAAACAACAATACAGTTTCCAGACTTGGGTCAACAAGTTTGATGGCTCTACAGGTTTCTTTATAAATCACATAACTCAGTTTATTAACTCCCAAGTCTCTCAAATAAAAATAATGGTCCTTAGACAACAACATACTCCCTTAGCTATAACTGACCTCTAAGATTAGAGGTATTATACAAAAAAGGGGGGGATGAAAGGGTTAACTCCCTAACTCCCCAGAGCTATCAGAGCAGAGCAAAAAAAAATGCCTAACTCCCCAGAGCTATCAAAACCGAGCAAAAAAAAATACACCTGCAATGTTGTTCTGTCTCAACAAGATAAGTAAGACAAATAACTGTTCTGTTCTGGGCACATAGTGACTGGGCTAGGACCCCCAGTCTCCATGGTTACTCAACCCCAAACCCCTCCAATCAACTTCTGCCAAGTCCTATCCTGCTCAAAATTAACCAATACAATCTGCTTCTGTAAACTCGCTTGCCTCCCATTTGCGCCCTTAAAAACCCTGCACAATTCCCCCTTGGGGCCTTCCGCACTTGTTTGCCTGGGGGACCCCATGCGCATGAAAATAAACTTTTTACTCCTCACTACAAGCTGAGTCCTTGGGGTCTTCTTCCCTGCAACGCCGGTCCTTACATTTGTTTAAACATGTGTCAGAGGCTGGTAATGAGTGTTATAATTTGGAGAAAATCCGTGTGTTGCTGAAGAGAGTGTATTCTGTTGTTGCTGGGTGGAATGCTATATAGATAGACAGTTACCAAGTTCATTCGTTAGAGAGTGTGACTCAACTATATTTTGTTTTTGATTTCTCTGGCTGGTTGATCTTTTGTGATAGTGAGGCACTGTGGTTTTATGATTGTATTGATGTTTGTCTAAACATTTTATCAGTAGGATTTGTTCTATGAAGCTGACTATGCCCATGTTTGCTGCACGTATGTTTATAATTGTGACCTCTTCCTGTTTAAGTGTCCCATTGACCCATATACGGTGATTTTCTTCGCCTCTTCTGATCTATTTTGGCCCAACGTTCACTTTTCTGAAAATAAGATCGCTACTCATGCTTTCTTTCTGACTTCTCTTACATGAAATTCTGTGTTGTACCCTTTGATTTTTCAGTCTGTTAGTTTCTTTGGGATGAAATATGTTTCTTGCATACCCATATCACTGGATTTTGTTTGTTGATCCAGTCTGTCCTTCAGTTGGCAAGTTGAGACCTTTTACATCGAGATTCACTACTAAGAGGCCATTCACTCACTTATTCCTGCCCTTGCTTTATTTTCCTGTTGCTGATTCCTTTATTTTTCCCTTTTACCTAGTTGCTACCCTGATTGGTGCTTTCCCTCCCTTAGACTTTTGCCACTGCCGCCTTCATTGGCTCTGTTGAGGAGACACATGTGAATTTTTCAGAGTGCTAATTTGGTGGTCACAAATTTCTTAAGGTGGTCTTTGTCATGGAAATCCTTTATTTCTCCATCAATTTTGAAAGATAGTTTTGCAAGGTATACAAGTCTGGGTTAAAAGTTGTTTTCTTTTCAGGTTAGAAAAACTTCTGTTCAAGCTGTCCTGGCTTTTAAGGTTTCTGTTAAGAATCTGTTATAATATTAATGGACTTATCAGTGATTCGTTTGCTTTTCTCTAACAGTTGCTAAGATTCTGTCCTTGTGTTGAACCTCCAGGATTTTTGACTATGAGGCATCACGGACAGGTGGTGGGTATTCAGGAACTTAGATACCTCAGATATCCACATGGTGTGTCCTTTCCCCGTACTTGGAAAATTTTCTATAGAAAGATTTTTTTACGCCACTTGTACCATCTTCTATTCAATTCCCCTTCGTCTTAGTTCAGTCTCCTTTGTGTCATCCAGTAGCTTTTGGATTCCTTCTCCTCTCTGTTTCTTAAGGCATCTCTGCATAGTGACCACTTTTATGTGCCCTGTCTTCTAGTTCAGACACTCTCTTTTCACACTGGTCACTTCTGCTGGGCATTGTTTTAAAAAATTCTGGATTTCCATCTGGTACCTTTCTGTGTTCTCTGATCGCTTGGTCATCTGTGTTTTGAGTCGGTCTGGTAGCTCTGCTTGTTCCTTATGGGCATTTTCTTCATCTCACTGATCATGTTGTTTACTGAGTTCATTGTATTTGATTTCAGCAAGTACCTGTTGATCTGGGGTTTTTGTTCTTTTATCATTTCATATAATTCAAGAATTCAGATTCTATTTCCTCTCGTTGGATCTGCTTTAGGGAAACTAAGAGCTTTTAGAGACATTTTGTCTCCTTCTTTTGTCATGTTTTGTGTGCATGTGTATGTGTGTGTGTATGTCAGTGTGTGTGTGTGTGTGTGTGTGTACACTGAAGGCTGACGGATGATTGTTGCTAGTATGAAATTTCTTCAGCTGGTGTCTGCTCTGCAGGACTACACTCTTCAATGTGTTTGTGTTTTAGTATTCAGTGACCTCTTCAACCCACTCAGTTTAATAGCATTGGACACAGTTTCTGTGCTGCACGGAGAGAATACGCGTGGGTTATGTGAACGTCAACAGACCCAAACATGCATCAGTCATGCACATTAAAACCTGCGAGGTGGTGCCTGCCTGTAATCCCAGAACTCAGAAGGCTGGCGTAGGAGAATCACTGTGAGTTCAAGACCAACCCAAATGACATGGTGAGATCATGTCTCAAAAAAAAATGTTTTAAAACAATTTCTCCCTTTATCAGTGCCCCCTTGCAGATTGTACTATGCTGCTGTGAACAGTTGGACTCAGAAGGAGAGGGACCAGGGAAGAAAAAAAAGAAGAGGAAGGTTAGGTGTGCTGGTGCAGGTCTGTTATCCCAGCCCTCGGGAGGCTGAGGCAGGAGGATGACTGTGAGTTCAAGGCCAGTCTGGGCTACCAAAAGAAAGAAAAGGAAAGGAAGAGAAAAAGGCAAAGTTAGTAAGAAGAGAGAGGGAGGCAGGAGAAATACCCATAGGTAAAGAACAGGAAGGAAATCAGACTGCTGGCATTGTTTTTATAGCTAGAGTAAAGTTACTGTGGAGAAATATTTCTGGGAGAAAGGACACACACACAGAGCTGTAGCCAGAAATCGATGGAAACAGACAAATCCCAGTGCTGCATTAGTAATCAGCTTGTCTGGGTCCTCTCTGCCTAGTTTTGGTGAGGGTCACCTGGACTTGCCCATGAAAGGTTCTGTTTAGATTAAAGTACTGGTGAGTTCTTATTTTCATTTGCATGCATACAGACACCTACTTTGTACCTGCCAGATGAAAGGAGAAAAGAGGGGAAATAAGGGGGAGGAAGACAGGAAGCAAAAGGGAAAAGGAAACCCTCCACAAAGTACCTCACGTAGTAGCAGAAACAGAAAATCCGAGCACCCCCAGGCGAGGCTGTGGCAGAAGTGGCCCAGCACCTACTTCTCCACCAACTTCTCCAGAGCCTTTCGGGTCCGGCTCCTGCTCCTTCTGGCTCCGGAAGCCTCCAGCCCAGCCCTAAGCTATGCAGCCTCTGACTCCGCAGCCTTCCCTCCACCTCCCCTCCACGGTCCTTGCAGGATCACTCTATAAGAGTCACTCCCTATCCCACAAACCTGGGGTGCCCCTGGGCTCCCTAGCAGTCAGGATCCCTCAGCAGGAGGCAGGGAGCTCCCCAGCAGGCATGGGCAGCGGGCAGGATGTTAGGAAAGCACAATGCTTTGGGAAACGAATGGACCAGCATTTATTTTGGAATCAGCCTCACCTCTCCGTTCCCCAGAGTCCTGTGGCTCAAGGGCCCTGCCCACCCACACAGCCGCCTGTCCACCAAGTCCTAGGTGCTCAGACCAGATTCCCCATCCCGAAGATGGCAGGGCCGAGTGCTGGCCTGGGTCCCCTCAAATGCTGCTCTCTGGTTCTCGGTTTATCTGATTCTTTGGCTTGTGCATCTCCCTCTCTGGGGTCCTCTCTGGGGTCCTCTTCCAGATGCGACTGTAGTAGGACTGAGAGCCAATGGGCCAGGCCTCACCTGAAATGCCATTTCTCTCCCTCGGGTCACTGATCCTCTCCAGAGAAGCTGTGGACACAAGACCCGGGATGTAAGGTGGGCAGCTCCCCAAGAGCAGTCTGGCTCCTGGCTCCAAACCCCTCTGATACTACGTGCATCTTGGTGAGAGTTTCTCCTGTTTGCCTTAGCTAGCTTTCTCGCCAGCATCTCAGAGCCTTTCTCCACCTTTCCAGCTATGCTAGAAAAAAGAAATACCTAGATTTTAAAAACATTCCTGTAACATTACTCTCAGTTTGTTTTGTCTGGGAAACTTTGCAGTGGAAAGCATGGCTGACTGGGGATTCACTTATGCAGTCACCACCTAACCCCTGAGGGCACCTCAGCTCCCTCTGCCAGCCAGCCAGACACCGCCATGGGCATCATCAAGTGACAAAGATAATTGGAGACCTTGGAGTCAGGGTCATTAAGTTCATACTTGAACCCTAAATAGCAAAATATAATGGGTATCCAAGAAATAAGCCAAGCAGCCTTTTATGATGGCTAAAGAAATTCCTAACCAGCCAGGGTTAGTGTAGGAGTAAACGAACAGGAGGAAGTGATCACATGAGCCAGGGGCTAGAGGCCTGGCCAGGGTATATAAAGGCCCAGACCAGGAGGAGGATATCAGTCCCAGAACCAGCTCCTGCCACCACCTCCAACTCCACCTTGCCCTCCACCAGCTCCACCATGTCTTGCTGCGGCTCCTTCTCCTCCCTCAGCTGCGGAGGCGGCTGCCTGCAGCCCTGCTGCATCCGGGATCCCTGCTGCTGCTGCCCCGTGTCCTGCCAGACCACCGTGTGCCGGCCCGTGACCTGCGTGCCCCGCTGCACACGCCCCATCTGCCATCCCTGCCCCAGGCCCGTGTGCTGCGATCCGTGTGGCCTGCAGGAAGGCTGCTGTCGCCCCATCACCTGCTGCCCATCGTCCTGCACAGCCGTGGTGTGCAGGCCCTGCTGCTGGGCGTCTACCTGCTGCCAGCCAGTGACTGTGCAGGCGCCCTGCTGCCGGCCCCCGTGCTGCCGGCCCGCGCCCTGCCGCGTGACCTGCAGGGGCCCCAGCCTTGACCCTTGCTGTTGCTGAGCCCCTGTGGTCACCAAAGGTCCCCACACAGTGTCCAGGTCTATCCTGCCAGTGCTCACCACACGCTAGCAGGACAACCCCATTCCTCTTCAAAGTAGCTGGCGCAGTATGTGAAGACCCCTTTCAGAACAGCAGCACACAGGGTCTGGCATCCTGCTGGCCTGCACTGGAACTCCTTAGCATGTTGTCTGTTTTCTAATAAACTCATACTCCCAGCATGGCAGTCCTGGTCTCTGTGGCACTTCCTTCCATCAGGTTGTCTTCCCATTGTCCAGGCGTGTTTCCCAAGGCACAAGAAAGACCAACCCTCTTACACTGTTCTCTGAAACAACTTAATGGTCACTGTCAGTGGCTGCCCAGACCCCATAGCTGCTGGAGAAGGTGGCTGTGACCATCCCTTCACGGTGTGTCCAGAACTGCAGACACGGTCACCCCTTTGGGGCTGGCTGTCCTGCACCAACAAGGACAACAACAACAGCTGTGTAGCTGGGTTAGGGGCTGGCACCTGGTGCCCAGTAACGGGGGGACGAAGGGAACCCAGGCAGTGTCTGCCAATCTCCTTTGTTTTCAGAAGAAAAGTGAGTGGGACTCAGTATTAATACAGCTACAAATGTAACTATACTCACGCTGCCCACAGAAGACCCCAGAAAACATAGCTTTCCTGACATTCAGCCTTGAAGTCAGCACGTCCCTGAAGTATGGTGAAAGAACACTCATCTACCCAGAGAAATACTGTCCTTTTGTCTTTTGTGCCCCTGTACGACTGCCTATTTGGGTAGTGGATCCCTTTAGAGGTCTAGAATTTGATAGAATGTGGCTTACTATGCCTGTTTTTATGGGTATTGTGTTTGCACTGGCTCTCCGGGGCTGCTTCTTTCTGTGCTCAAACATTGCATGAGTGACATTTTCCAAGCCAGTGACTCCGCTGTGGTCACTCCACACACGTTTACTGTCGTCTGCTATAAGTGAGACTTGACCACCCGCACGCATATGAGGGAATCTAAAAGGGGCTTTGCTTCAAAGAGTTTATAGTCATTTAGAGAGATGAGATATGGGGGAAAGTCATCAGTACATAATATAAAAATATAGAGAAAGAACAAAAGTATCTTAAAATGGCAAAAGATTACAAACCCATCAGAAAATATCATGTAATTGTTCACAGAATATATAAGAATATGTTAAAAATTAAGCTGTCAGATATGAAGACATTTTACGAGGAAAAAGTTTTTGTGTGTCTGTATGTCCTTTTCCCGAAAACAATTATCTGTGACATTGTGTTTTGGTTTGTTTTTTGGAACCGAGAATTGAACTCAGGACCTTGCACTTGCCAAGCAGGCACTTACTCCGCTGAGCTAAACCCCTGACCCTGCCTGTGATACTATATAACAACACAGAACAGTAGTCAGTGGTAACGTCCCTTTCCTACAACTTTTAAAGTTGCTCATCTTTTAACATTTTAGGAGCATCTCAATTCTATCAAAGAAGGTGCACTTTTGATATGCTCCAAATGAAGTACTTTAAAACGTTACTAGTTTTTCACATTATATGCAGAATTGTTTTTATCCACTTTGGTATAAGCAAAGAATTGAGAACACAAGGTAATATGTGTTTTTTTTTGAGACAGTGTCTCACCATGTGTTTCAGGCTAGCCTTGAACTCACTATGTAGCCAGATTGGCCTTGAACTCCTGGGGATCCTCCTGTCTCAGCTTCCTCTGGGCTGGAATTACACAACCACACCACCACGACCAGCACTATTTTCCACATTAAATATATTCATAATGTTTTATTAATGACACTATTAAATGAAACCCTATCATTTGCTATGCAAAATGGTAACTTCATCACCCCTAAGGATCTGTCCATACTCATTTTAGGCTCTTTTATAAAGGATTTTCTTTTCCCAGGACTCTACTCTGTGCTGCTGGGCAGGTTCTCAGCAAAGCTCACACACCGGCGACGGTTCTGATGCCACAGCTGTGCTTGATGGTGCCTGACTTCCTGTACTAGAGACTGGTGCTCAATGGCAGACGCTGTGTCTCCCTCTTACTGTTTTAATTCCGGTCCACACTGTGAATGAAACTCACCCTGGGATAATCTCGCTCACATGCATTCTGTGGTGGCTCGGGAGAATTGGCCAGCTCCAGCATGTTGGGTTTGATTCAAAATCAACATTTAGTTTATCAGGCATGTGTGCAACATGATGTTTAAAAACCCATCCATGCATTTAACAAATGCCAGACACCGCTGGGCACTGCTGTGGTCCTCACAAGCATCAGCTCATTAGATCCTTACGGCAATCCTAAAAGGTACCCTGCACCATGCAGGGACGCGTCACCAGGAAGAGGCAGAGCTTTCCACACGTGTCACCTGTTCGTGGGAGAGGCGACGTCCAGTGTGAAAGCCTGGGAAATGAGAGCTGAGCTCTCAGACTCCTGCACAGAATTCCTGAAACAGGGTCACCTTTTCCCCCAAAGGAAGTTTGTTAGGAAGTGAGATGGGTGTGTCCCAGTGAATCCAGTGGAAGAGGTCACCGAGTGGTTCTCAGCCTGGAGGCTCTTCACACCGACAAAGTCAAAAAATCTTTGACTTTGGCTGCAGAGACTCGCAGAAGGGAAATTAGTGTTGATGACTTGAGGTTCTATGCATCTCCCTCAAGGTTCCCATCGCAAACAAGAAGATCAGGAAGACTCCACAGCAGTGTGGAATTGTACGTGAGATCAGTGTCCCAAAAAAAAAAACAGAATATGCAACTTTTTTAGAGGTTACTGTTGGGGTGAGGGTGGGGCCCCCTCATCCACAGGCGAGGGAGGCATGTGAATACTGGAAGGTCACTAGTGATGACACTGCCTGGTTTCTCCCTCTTTGTCCCCAGTTGGGAGAGTCGGTTCCGTCAATACTTTTTCAAGTTTTGAGTTTCAGGAGAGGAGTGTCAGACTCCAAAGCTGTAGGTACAATCTTCAGAAGGAAGCAAATGACACCAGGGTGGCCAAAGTGCTGCTGGCCACAACGGAACGGTGGAAGGTGGAAAGTGGAGACTCATCTGTCCAGCAGTCCCTATGCGGCCTCGATGGACGCCACTTCAGGGGACATAGCCTATCATGCTTCGGCAGAGCCTCAGAGGGCAGCTGGACAGGGCCCCCAGCATGCATGCTCCCAACGTGCCTGCAAAAGCAGCTGAGAAAACCCTTCACATCCCCACGTGATCAAAGCGACTACACCACAGTATACGAAGAAAAAGTTCTCCCCAAGGCGCCACTCTTTGTTATACGCATGGGAAAGGCAAGGTTTTTGTTAGTTTGTTTTTTAAAGTCATGTTTCAGAGATTAAAAAAAAACACCAGCACTGTGGCCACAAAAGCACTCAGCCTGAAACAGAGAGGAGACAGAATGCAAGAGTCCCGCATGGTTCATTCCAGCACGGAGCTGTTTACAGGTCACACGTTCACCGTTCTGCACATGCGTTGAGCCTCTCTTCAGGATACGTACTTGTTTTTATTTCAAGGGATCAGCGATTAGGTCCCGTGGATTCCTTGCAAGGTCCTGTCTGACTCACCGGCAGCTGCTCCCAAATAATCTGCAATTTTCTGTGTTTCATTTCTCTTAGTAATTGAGGTTCTCTTGGGACTGTTGTTGAAGTTTAGCTGAGTCCTATGAACTCAAACGCAGCATCAGGAAAGCAGGAATCAGAAGCTGGTTCATGGGCACAAGCACAGCCAGGCAGGGAGAACAGAGTTGGGGTGAAGCATCCCGGAGGGCCGTCCTAGCTAACCACAGTGTGCTGGGGAAGTTGAAAAGCTCCAAGACAGAATCTCGCATGTTCTCATCACAAAGAAGTGATGGAAGCTGGGGATTTGGCTCAACAGCACAAGCACCTGCCTGGCAATTGCGAGGTCGTAAGCTCTATCCCTGGTACAAAAAACTAAAAGGATGGAAAACCTAAGTGTCCTGATTGACCAATAAACAATATCTGCCTGCACCCAGACTCCGCCATGCACCCCACAAAGAGGCACCAATGACCTGCCACTTCCGAGGGCAGCTGTCCTCCCAGCTGGTGTGAATCCCTGGTTTTCACGATGGACAGTGCAGACACATTCACAGGACCTAGAGCTGCAAGAAGAATTCTTGCATGGGGTCATGCATGTGTCACAAGCATCTGTGAGTCATACAAGATTCTACTTAATTAGCCAAAAGATAAACAAGTGTGATCACAAGGGCCGGCCAGGGTATATAAAGGTCCGGACCAGGAGGAGGACATCAGTCCCAGAACCAGCTTCTGCCACCACCTCCAACTCCACCTTGCCCTCCACCAGCTCCACCATGTCCTGCTGCGGCTCCTTCTCCTCCCTCAGCTGCGGGGGCGGCTGCCTGCAGCCCTGCTGCATCCGGGACCCCTGCTGCTGCCGCCCAGTGTCCTGCCAGACCACCGTGTGCCGGCCCGTGACCTGCGTGCCCCGCTGCACGCGCCCCATCTGCCATCCCTGCCCCAGGCCCGTGTGCTGCGACCCGTGCGGCCTGCAGGAGGGCTGCTGCCGCCCCATCACCTGCTGCCCATCGTCCTGCACGGCCGTGGTGTGCAGGCCCTGCTGCTGGGCATCCACCTGCTGCCAGCCGGTGACTGTGCAGGCGCCCTGCTGCCGGCCCCCGTGCTGCCGGCCCGCGCCCTGCCGCGTGACCTGCAGGGGCCCCAGCCTTGACCCCTGCTGCTGCTGAACCATGGACGCAGTGCCTGGAGCAGCTGAGCCGCTCCTGCAACAGCAGAGTCTCCACCCGTGGAGACTCTTTCCCCAGCCACCGCAACCCTGCTCCAACCATGGCTCACCCATGAAGCCCTGGGCTGTCCTTGTCTTCCCTCCCTACCTCTAAGTTCTGGCAGTGTGCGTATCTTTAAATAAACTTCTCTTCTTTGCCCTTCCAAACACTGCTTGGGTTTTTCTTATTCATTATAATTGTGTTTTCATTGTATTTTAATACCATGAGAAAGAGGCTGGTGACCAACCATGGCCTGCCAGTCACAGATGGCATGGTGTACCAGAGACATCCCAGCTGGGGTGGAAGTGTCCCCTCTCTTAGAACACAAGCAAAGAAACAATGCAACACCAAACAAAACAGTCCTGGGAAGTGAGTCAAATCCACTGTCACACAACAAGAAAGTTGGAACCTGAGAGACAAAAGGGCAACCTATAGGAGAACAGAGAGATGAAGGGAGGGAAAGAGGATTAAGTGTTAAAAGAGAAGATTGGAGAAAAACTGGAAATGGAGCTTTTTCCAGTGGAAAAGGGGTCAGGAGTGGGGAGGGCAAGAAAGGATGGGAGGAAAAGAAGCCAAAAGAGACTTAATGTGTCAGGTACACATGCGGACTCCTCACAATTATTGTAATTCTTATCCACTGTGAACATGTTCTAAGATGCATTAACCTTTTAAAAATAAAATGTATATAAATACACAAAGTGTAGCAAAGTCACTGTTGACTGGGGAGAACAGAAATGACTGAGAGAAGCCAGCCTTGGATGTGAGTTACTATTTTGGTGTCCAGATTAGGAGGAAGGTGACATTCTCCGCAATGGAAAAACGTGTGGGTGAAGTGTGGAGGAGACCCCTGCCAGCGCTGTCCAGGGGTGCCCTGCCTGGGAACTCTGGACATCTTTAAGGTGGGAGCAGAAAATCAAATTAGAAGATGTGCATGCTTTGAAGGTTGGCAAAGGAGCGGGCAAGGAAGCACCAAAGAATTGCTGCCAGTTCAGGAGTAGGGAATGGCATGACCAGAGCTGGTGATGCTTAGGGAAGCTCCTTACAGAAACAGGAGAGCGAGGCCCGCAGAAGTCGCAACTATGCCTGAACTAATCAGGCCCGAGTGATGTACAAGGACAGGGCTAAGACGACGAGCACACAGTGATTCTGGCAGACATTGAAACCCAGAAGATATTCACTGAGTGACTGTAGGAAATGAGAAACAAAAAGGAAATTTGACTCGTGGCAGTTCCTGGAAAACTCTGGTCATGAGAACAAAAGAATTTTAACATGTTTATACTAATGCATTGCATTTAAAATCACTACTTGTAATGTGCCATGCCCACTACTTCACATTTCCACTTTAAGTCATTATGCTATATTCAAAATAAAAGAAAGAGACAAAATTTTACCAATAACAGTTGATTCTAGAGAGTAGAGAGGTACACAAGGAGAAAAACAGGTCTAGAAGGGAATTTTATACCCAGCTATTCTGGCTATTTATTGTATGAATGCAAAAAGTCACTTACTGTCTCCAAAATGTGTCCCTTCCAGACCCAACAGTATTCTAGCGTACTGAGGAAAATTAAAAATAGTGCATAACGTAACACCAATGTTCAAATTCATAACTTTGTGGTTGGGTGGCTCAAAGGATTGATATCCTTGATTAATATCCCCCTCGTTGGTATCTTGCTTTCTAGTAATGCGTTAGTGCTCTCTGCACAGTGGGATTAAATAAACATGTGTTATGTACTCTGGGACCAATGTCAATCTCTACATCTACAAGATGAATAATTATTCAGTGATTCATCTAATTATTTTCAACTTCACAACAGCAGTCATGGTTACCATACGACGCAAACATCTTTATGAAACTACCTGAGTCACATTCCAGTGTAATCTATTGCTGTGTAAATCAATGCCTCCTCCTTGTAAGAAGATGAATCTGTGGTTCTATTTGATAGGAAATAAGCATTTTACTTTTTGGATACTGTTTTTTTTTCCATTTCCTCTCAAGTAACCCTAAATATTCAGTGGGGAAAAAAAACTCATATCCTTTCATTTGGCAAAAATCAGGAATCATTTTGACTTTTTTGGCTGGAATTTATCTTGATCTTTATACCACCTGAACCATATTTGATCACCTGTTTCTTAACCAGACTTACAAACACTTTGATATGGGAAAAAAGTATTTCCTAATTCTTTTCCATTCCTCAGTCCTCCACAAGTACAGCTGTCATCGCTTTTACAGGACTTGTGGTGTAGCAATGGCATAACCTGGAAGTAGATCCTGGCTTTGAGAAGTACTATCCAAATAATCCATCTAGCAGAGAAGTGTAAATTTCACTTCTAATATTCTGTGATTTTTCCTAATACTTCTGAAAATGAATTTCAGCCCCTTTTTAAAATTAAATTGGAATGAAACAAATTTTGTTCCATTTATACACTGAGTGATAAATATTTCCTGAAGTGTGGATGTCTGAAGTTCAAGAGAGATCACAGAGATTGGGGGGGGGAGACCCAATATCTGGAGAGATCTATGAATTTCTATGAGTGTGGGGTTTATCAGTGTGTTTTTTTTCAATCGATATCGGGGATCGAACTCCGACCATGTGCTTGCAAGACAGGCTCTTATGCCGCTGAGCTAAATCCAGCAATTTATCAGCGTTTTGCTTGGCTGATCATGGAGTTATACTTTATCAGTCTGAAAACAGAAAGAGAGTCTTACATGGGGGAGCATTCGTGACCTATAGTTCTTCTCTAGAGAGCTGAGGCTTGATAAACGCGATCCCCAAATCACCGTCTTAAGGGTGAGAGTCACCTGTCAGCTGCTACAATCACAAGCAAAAAGACTCCAATTAAGGCTGGAGTGGAAGTCATAGCATAGTTTGGAAATGAAACACTAACATTTCCACAGAGAATGAACACATCTGGTGACCATGAGCTGAGTAAGAAGGACAAAGCAATTTGCCGAATTATTTAAAGCAACTCAGCATTTGAGCGGAGGCCCCCAGAGAAGCTGATTGAAGGAGTAATACGCTAACAATGCTTCTGTCACAGACTCACCCACTGACCGTGGCTTATAAAAGGCTGGAGCTGAGCTGAGCAACCACCAGTTAGAAACTGCTCTTAACAACGCACCTCTCGTTCACCCCGACTCCTCACACCATGGCCTGCTGTGCTACTAGCTTCTGTGGGATTCCCAGCTGCTCCACCAGTGGGAACTGCGGCTCCAGCTGTGGGATCCCCAGCTGCTCCATCACTGGGAACTGTGGCTCCAGCTGCTGTGAAAGCAGCTGTGGCCAGACTGGCTGTGGCATCGGGGGTGGCATTGGTTTTGGCCAGGAAGGTGGCAGTGGTGCTGTGAGCTGCCGCACCAGGTGGTGCCGCCCAGACTGCCGCGTGGAGGGTACCTGCCTGCTCCCCTGCTGCGTGGTGAGCTGCACACCCCCAACCTGCTGCCAGCTGCACCACGCCCAGGCTTCCTGCTGCCGCCCGTCCTACTGTGGACAGTCCTGCTGCCGCCCGGCCTGCTGCTGCTACTGCTGTGAGCCCACCTGCTGCCAGCCCAGCTGCTGTGAGCCCAGCTGCTGCGAGCCCAGCTGCTGAAAACTTTCTTTTGATGGAAATCTTGAGAGATGGCGCCTCAAAACTAACCAGCACTGAGTCCCAGCACACTTCTGACGGCCAATACCCATGGCCCAGCTGGCACCCTCTCACTGGATAGCCACAGGATTTCCCAAGAAGGTGACTTCATGTACAGCGGAAGATGAAAAACCTTTCACAGACCTAAACATCAGCAATAGTCCTACAGCATGAGAAGGGACGTGGAACATTCGACTATAAATATCACCCGAAGTGTTCCAGCAGCTCACTGGGACTTGGATTTAATAAAACAAATTTTTTTCATCTTTTCATTGAAATCATGTTAGAACCTTCTTTAATGGTATTCGGGTATTGGGATTTTTCAAAATTGCAACACAGTCTATGGTTTTTATTTTTGTTCTTTAGTAATAGTCTTTAAAACTGATTTTCCTTTGCTTTACCACTAAATATCCCTGTACTCTACAGCCAAAATATATAGTTAGTAGGACACAGTGTAATTTAAAAGTGTTTCCCAAGCAGAGGGGTAGCATCAGGGTTCTAGAAGGTCAGTTTCATGAGGAGGGAGGGCCATTAAGCTTTCTAAGAAGCATAAATACACACCCAGTGTTCATACATGAGTCCCTGTAAGTCATCAAGACATGCAAAGGTGTAATACAAACAGGAGAAACCATAGACACGCTGTTGTAAAATAACAGCACAGGACATGAGGGTGTCCTCATTTCTATCTAAACTTTGAAACAACAACTCATGACAAGTTGGGTGAGTCCGTTTGCTTGCCTGGGCACCTAGTTCAAATCTGAAAATTGAGTTGTATCACTTACAGTACCCCTTCCAGGCCTGCACGTAGAGGCATAGATATCTTCCTAAACAGATGAAACTAAAAATGAATGCCCACAGGGGAAAACATTCAATTGTCATCTTGAAGGTTTATAAGCAAAGAAGAAAATTAAAGGCACTGAGATGCCCGGAAACAAAGAGACCTCAGTAACTATCACCCCAGGCAGATTTAGCAAAGAAATTCTCTGCTTTTATTTTATCTGCTGACATCCTGTAACACTATCAGTCCTCAAAACACACTTTGGAAACTGACGAAAAGAATATTGCTCGATATTTTCTCCGTGGCTGTGAAAACCTCTCACGTGCTGGGAAGCAGAAAACCAGTGTTCATTACAGGGATGGATCGAATTGAGCGTAATGTTGGCCAGACAGAATCACCATTCCTACTGTGATCTGCAGAGGGTTCTTGAATAAAGCAAGAATGAACAAAAGATGCATCTCAAGGCCTTTGTTCCACTCCATGGAATAATTCTTTGGTCCTAAACCAGCATGGCGAGGCAGGGCTTGAGCATGGGGATGGAGGAAGTGATAACCGAAGTTACAGGTTATTTTCTGGTACAATGAACCAACCCTCCCTCCACTAGCAGAGCTTTATTGGAAGTAGGAAAAGGCAGCCCCTTGGGATGAACGCAGATGGGGGCACCCAGCTTGTTCGACCTACAGCACTGCACTGTGAAGGCCCCCTGGGGTTCCCTCTTTTGTGAGTGGACAGAGCCATGTGTCAAGACACAGCTCCGATCTTACTTGATGACCTTCCAAGATGGACCACATCCTCTCACCTATGGACCTCTCGTCTCCCATCAGGACAAGAAGGCTTCGCATTGATGGATATTTCGCTTAGAAGGGTTCTAGCTCAGGAGCACCAAGAAGACTTAGGATGGCGTTCGGAGCTCTCGCTACGTGGTCAAAGATAGAAAGTCGGGGTGGGAGGAGGTTCTTGGTTCCTGTTGTCAAGTCCAGGTGGCTACGATGGAGCTCAGTGCAGAAGTATGAATGGTGTGCTCCTGCAGTGGGGCCACCGACCACATCCTCTCCCTCAGAAAACTAAATAGGACAGGTACGATTGATGTGGGGAGCTGGCAAAATGGAAGTGAAGGAGCTGAGACCCCCCAGAGCTTGGGATAGGAAAGAGCGTAAAGAAACAACAGCATAAAATAACTCAGAACATTACCCCCTCTGGTACACACAGGTCAAATGTTTAAAAATAGCCAGGAACATATCTTTCCATCTTGTACTGGAACCATCCTGGTCCTCAATTTCAGTGAAACTCAAAGGAAATAAACACAGTCATTTTTTTAAAAAATGTCACAAATTTCAAGGTCTTGGCATTTTACCAAGAAATCTCTACACAGGAGGATCTGGAACTGGGAGAGATAGAAATTCTATTCAGAGAAACATCATGAACTGTGATTTGTTGTCTATTTTCGTGAAAACTGATCAAGGAAAACAATGGGTTCAAATGATAGGGGAAAGAAGATTCTATTAAATTTTATTTCCCTGATTGACTTTGTGTGGGGGGGAGATATTCAGATTTTGTGTGTGTGTGTCTTTTTTGTTTTTATCGGTACCAGGGATCGAACTCAAAACCACACACTTGCAAGGCAGGCGCTTATGCCACTGAGCTAAATCCCCAGCTCGAAATATTCAGATTAATCTCTATTCTGTAACTGAGGGGTAGAATTCTTGAATTTTAAGTGTTATATTTTATTCACAGTAATCCTTTGGGGCAGCTAAAGTTCACAGACATAAACTAGCTAAATTTTGTTTTGAGGGAGATGTGGAAACCAATGCCATAGTAGTAACACCTAAAATGCAGGTCAACATCCAGTGCTACCATCTCCAAAGCTGGTACCAGTAATGTATTCCCACCACTCACCTAAATGCTTCTGAAGGCTGGGTACGTATCTTTAGTGTCAAAGATTCTGGCTGAGATATAAACTAACTAACTCTTGAGGTTATAATCATGACAGATACAAATTTCAAATATCCAATGTGAAAACCCAATTCAACAATGATGTTATCTTGCTTGAAAAGCAACAAGAAATTCACAAAGAGCCAAATTTTCATTCAGATTCCATCTCACTCCTGAAAGAATGGCCAGGATCAAGAAAACTACCAACAACAAATGCTGGAGAGGCTGTGGGGAAAAAGGAACTCTCCTGCACTGTTGGTGGGAGCGTAGACTGGTGCAACCATTGTGGAGATCAGTCTGGAGATTTCTCGGAAAGCTGGGATTGGAAGTCCCATTTGTTCCAGCTATTCCACTTCTAGGCATATTCTCAGAAGAACTGAAAACATCATACTACAATGATATATGTGTACCCATGTTTATAGCAGCACAATTTGTAATAGCCAGGTCTTGGAAACAACCTAAGTGTCCATCAACTGAAGAATGGATAAAAAAGCTGTGGTATTTTTATACAATGGAGTACTACTCAGCTATAAAGAACAATCACATTGAGACATTTATAAATAAATGGACACAACTTGAGACCATACTCATTAGCGAAATAAATCAAACTTACATGTATAAATACTGAATAGTCTCCCTAGTATAAGAAATGGTAAGAGTACATAAGAATTTATATTAATCAAGATTCCCCATTACATTGCTCTGAAGCCTTATAGTGTCTTCATTCATTAATTGGAATGGTTTTATCCTAGGTTGTTTGATTTTATTATCTGTGATAGTATAAACAGCTATTTTAAAGAAAAGACATTAGAATAGTCAGAGCTGATTTAGTAGCATTTTACTCTGAAGTCCTACTATACTTTTGTTTTTCTGTTGCCTTTGGTTCTATCGTGTTATATCTTATTGGATATTATTATGTGTGATAATATAAACAAATTTTCTACGGAAAATGAGGTAATATAGAAGCCATTGTTCATTCTCTGCTATTTGGTTCTGAAAGCCCTGTAATGCTTTTATTCTCTTGAATGGTTTTATACTGTTTTGTTATGCTTGATACTATCATATATAAAGCTATGCTCAACTATTTCAAAGAAAGAGACACTGTGGTAGTTACTGTTAATTATGGGTTGTCTTGTGGTAAAACTTGCATTGTTCTGATCTGATCTGCTTTGTTATGTCCTCTTTTGTCTTAATCTCTTTAAAATAAAAAAAATTTAAAAAAACAAATTTGATGTCGTCTTTTCAAGCATGTCTTCACTGTGACCTGAGAAGAGCTGGGATTTAACCTCAAAGGTGTCATTTCAGGAGATCCAGAATGCACACTTAAATATTCTGGTTCGAGGCTCATAGGTGTCACTTTAATTTCATTTCTCTGTAACAGAGCCCTTGTTCCATGGAGGGAACAGGCCACCTTTAATTCATTCAGCCTTACCTTTATCAGATGCCTCAAGCCATATAAACTTTACAGCCAGTTAGGCTACTAACATCTACACCAGCCCACACACTACACTGTAATAGACTATAATGTGTCACATATGCTAAGTGAATGGATTTTATACAGCTAAGAACATTTAAATCTAGAGAATGTCCTGTGGGCCTCAGTCATCTTCCCATTGTCACGAACAAGACTGGAAACCCACAGCTTGAAGGAGGAGAGTTTTATCTAGGTTCACAGTTTTGGTGGGTTCAGTCCATGGATGCCCTCTCCAAGGCAGAAAGGGCGTGGTGGAAGGGCACGGTGGGTGATAGCTCTTCACTACGAGGTGGCCAAAAAGTGGGAAGGGAGGTAGAACAGGGATAAGAACACACAGGTCACAACTCCGGGCTCCCCCTGTGAACATGAGACTTTGAGGGAGACAGTTTATGCCTTTCCCTAAGCCCTACCCTTTACTCCCAAAAACATCTGTAAGAAAGTGGGCACATTTTTACCTCTGACTTTTACCCTTTGATTTTCCCTAGGATAACTATTTATGCCAGAAAAAGAGGAAACTGACTATGGTAGGGGTTCAGATTTCAGATTCCCCCACTTGTGGGTGCGAACTCAGGCAAGTTCCTTAAATCTGTAACTCAGTCTGCTTGGCTGAATTATGGGAGTCACAATAGTGCCCACCCCCACTCCTGCTGTGAGAATTAAGGGAATTGATATACATGAGATATTTAGGACATTTTGCGTACATTAAGTGCTCTAAAAACGTTGCTAATGACAACCCAGTCGTCCTCTTGCTTCCAGTTGGATCCAGTGTGGCTTCATAGAGTGAAAATGGAAAAGGTCCTGGAGAAACAATCATCAGTCCTGGAAGTCATGTAGCTGGGAATTAAACTTGTTTGAGACCCAAAGCCCAATTACAGCGATAAACACTGAGTAATGGTTCTCTTTAAAGGGGGAACAGCATAGCTTAATCATTCTTTGAATAGGAAAATTTTAACAAATAAGGGAGTTTAGGGCTTGTGTTCCCAATGGATGTTAATGATGTATCATGGTAAAGAACCCTAATTGAAGAGGAAATAGAAACAACTTTAAAAGGCTCTCAGCAGTCTGAATAAATAAGTTAAGAACAGGCCAATTATCATTCAGAGGCAAAGTATTTAAACACAAACAAGGAAGAAACTGAAGAACTACCAAAACAGCAGCTGCTCGAGGATTATAAAAGGCCCAGTGTAGCAGTCCCCACCAAACTCAAAACCTCTCTCCAAACACTGTAAACTCTCAACGCAACTGCTCACACGATGGCCTGCTGTGCTACTAGCTTCTGTGGGATTCCCAGCTGCTCCACCACTGGGAACTGCAGCTCCAGCTGCTGCCAGCCCAGCTGCTGCCAGCCAACCTGCTGCCAGCCCAGCTGCTGCCAGCCAACCTGCTGCCAGACCAGCTGCTGCCAGCCAACTTGCTGCCAGACCAGCTGCTGCCAGCCAACCTGCTGCCAGACAACCTGCTGCCAGCCAACCTGCTGCCAGACAACCTGCCAACCTAGCTGCTGTGGAACCAGCTGTGGCCAGGAGGGTGGCAGTGGTGCTGGTAGCGCCGTGAGCTGCCGCACCAGGTGGTGCCGCCCAGACTGCCGCGTGGAGGGTACCTGCCTGCCACCCTGCTGTGTGGTGAGCTGCACACCCCCAACCTGCTGCCAGCTGCACCACGCTCAGGCCTCCTGCTGCCGCCCGTCCTACTGTGGACAGTCCTGCTGCCGCCCGGCCTGCTGCTGCTACTGCTGTGAGCCCACCTGCTGCCAGCCCAGCTGCTGCGAGCCCAGCTGCTGCCAGCCCACCTGCTGCCAGCCCACCTGCTGCGAGTCCAGCTGTTAAGGACCAGGTTGCTGATTCCCAATTAGTAACTTCACAGTTTCAACTCGGTCCATAAACTAAGCAGCTCTTCAGCCACTCCTGGACCCCAAACAAGTTCTTGCACTTCATTTCACTGTTGCTCTGGAGGTTACCAAATATTTGAGCCTCCAGAACAGTTTCCATTCAACATGGGAAAGGTTTGGATCACTGCTCTGTGGGTCACAAAATACAAATTTGACTCAAGAAATGGGAAATCCAATGGGTGATCATAGCAAAGTTTGACCCTACCCTGCAGGGATCATTGCTTTGCCAGTGCTTGGAAGAATCTGCTCCTCTCAGCTACTTTCCCCTCCTCCCTCCGCCATCCTGTGGGCTGCACTTCCTATGAAAAAGAAATAATGCACCATGATCTAATAAACTATGCCTATCGGCACAGCAAAAATCTGTCTTTTTCCAAGTGTGTTCATGATAGATATTTCACACAACAGCACATAAAAGATTTCAGTCTGGTTCTGCTACACCAGATTACTCTTTGCATACCTTGGTTGGAAAGCTCCAGTGCAGGTCATTCCTCATAAATAGATGCAGTAAAGTCAGTTACCCGGGGCCTCAGAAATGGCACAGCTCTATTGCCATATGTAGGCCTCAAAAACAGATAGGTGTAGGTGTCAGGAACTCAGCATCAGAACCTAAGTGGGGCATAGTTTGCCTTCAGAGAAGGGGATGCTATTTGCAGCAGTCTTCAAAGGGTGGTAATATACAACCTACACGCTTTCATCCACATGGAGTCTTGCAGAATAGAGCAAGAGAAATATGAGGGAAATCCTTTCTAAAAGAATAGAATATGAATTCGATGGAATTTCTTACTCCAAGTTTTTTTCCCGGTTTCTAAGGAAATGAAGATAACAAATTTCATTCACTATTTAGAGTCGGTGTCTGTTCTTTGATTTGGGAATCTTGACCCACAGAAACATACATATTTTTATTCTATAAACACATTTGTATAGAATATACCTAGATAACGAATTTATACACAAGTATTTGGGAATCCATCCTAGGTTTGTGTTTTTCAGACAAAGATCAGGACTGATATAGTTTCCTGAACTCAGAATTGGAGGGCACTAGAGATGTATATTTACTTAAAGAATATTACTTTGGTTACCACTGTAATATTTTGGTGGATGTTACAACCTTTTATTCGTTCAACAGATAATGCAGTCAGAAAAGTAGAAAGCAGGAATAAAGGACAACTGGGAACAAAGAAACTATTTCCCTGATATTTCACCCAGAGGCTGGTCCAATCCCGCCATCTCCTGTGAATGGCAGAATGGAAATGGAGACGTTTTCCATCCTCTTGACCGCCTGATTCTAACCACAGATCTTCTTCAGCTATCACCATGTGAGTGGATCCTCCTGGAAAGTGACTAAAATTACCAGTGACTTTGACGAAATGGAAATTTAATTTTCATCACTGCCATCCGCTGCTGACTATTTCCTCACTCTTACTCCACACGCCTTTGCAGAATGTCCGCATGTGAGCTAGCATCGAGGCTCCACGTAGGGCCCGGAGGGATCTTGACACGCGCAGATCAGACCCCGTAAGGAACTGTAGTGACCAGCTGCAGCTCTGGATGTTCCGGTAGGGAAGGACAGTGAGAGGATGAGAAAATAAAGAAAAGAGAAGAAAGCTGGGGTCAGGGGAGCCCTTACCCTCCTGGTGGGAGAGAAGGAACTGCTCAGCCACTGTAGCAGGTGTATTTACATCCTCCAAAGAAGAGCGTCAATTCCAACCCCGCTGCCCAGCAGCTTGTGTGCCTGGCTGGCCTGGGCACCTTGCCTGCTTGGAGCTGGACCAGCTTGTTTATGTGGCTTGTTTGGGGCTCCCTGTGTTTTCAAGGCTGCCCTTCATATAGCCCCACACATGTGATCCATCTGCAGCTTTGTGGCTCCCTACGGGGAAAGAATGACCTAATAGAGTGAATATACACTGTTAGCCCAGGAAGGCATCGGAAAGATCATCTCACTTTACAGAGGAGGAAACCCGTGCTCAGAGGAGTTAGCGATTTTCCCGAGCTCACAGTCACCCAGTTCTACAAAGAGTTCGGAAGCCCCTTTAAACCATTTCTCAGTGGGGCACTCAGACTCCCGCACTGTTCGGCCACCCTTGATCCCCTAAAGTTCAACTCACTTCAAGTCCACTTCAGCTTAAAATTCTACGATTATTTTAAAACTTGAATTTGCCAATTTAAAAAGATTGGCATATTATCAATAAGGAGATGACTGGATAAATGCTAAAATGATCAGACTCCATACTATGATATAGCTATTAAAAAGGACTCCTATATATAGGATACATCAGGAACTGAGTAACATGGATACGTCTTTCCCATAGATGCACATACCTAGGAATAAACTCCTAGAAACACACAACCTACCAAAACTGAATCATGAAGAAATAAAAACTCTGAACAAATCCATAATTAGAAACAAAGTTAACTCAGTAATCAAAACCTCCTCAAAGAAAGGAAATCCGTGGCCATGCCTAGAAAGATTTGCTAGTGAATTCTACCTATTATATAAAAAAACTGACATCAATCCTTAACTCTTCCAAAAAGCTGAAGAGAAGGGAACACTTTCAAATTCATTCTATAAGGCCAGTATGATACTGACACAGAAGTCAGACAACTCTCTAAAATTACAGGCCAATAGTCCCAGTGAATATTCATACAATAATCCACAACCAAATATTAACAAAAAGAATCCAACAACACATGAAAGGAATTAACAACTAACCAGATAAGATGGCATGTTCCTATAATTCCAATATTTTGGGACAATGGAGCAGAAAAATCAAAAGTCCAGGTCTAGCCTGGGAAATTTAGTAACATAGTAAGATCATACTCTAAAATAAAAAATTTATAAAGGGCTTGATTGTAGCACAATGAGATGGTCTCAGTAGCACATATAAACACACGCACGCACGCACACACAGTATTTTAAAATTATAACTAAGCAGGACTTTATCCTGCAATGCAAGAATCAATCAGTATAATACACTGCATTAATGGGATAAAGGAAAAAAGTGGTCTTCTTAATCAATGCAGACAAAGCATTTGACCAAATTTAAAACTTTCATAATTAAAAAAAAATACTCATTAAATTAAGATAGGTCATGACCATAACATAATAAAGTCTATATATTAGAAGAATACAACTAAGAGTCAACAGTGAAAGACTGAAAGCTTTTTCCCACAAGGTTAGGAAACAAGAATGCCAACTTTTGCACAGTTTAGCTGTCATAATACTAGAAATTGTAGGCAAAGTAATTAAGCAAGAAAAGGAAATAAAAGCTAACCAAATTGGAAAGGAAAAACTAAATTATTTCCCCTAAAAAGACAATATGATCCTATATGTGGAAGTCCCTAAAAAGTTCACACACACATGAAAACTGTTAGAAGTAATGAATGAATTTAATAAAGTTAATAAACACAGAATCAACACACAAACATCCCTGGAATTTCTATGCACTGGTGATGAACAATCTAAAAGGGAAATTAAAAAAACAATTCTACTTACCAGATCAAATTCTAAGGAATAAATTTAACCAAGAAGGAATACTTGTACACCAGAAAATACAACATATTTCTGAAGCAAACTAGGAGATGCAAATAAATAGAAAGGCATCCCATGTTCATGGATCAGAAACCCTAATATTGGTAAGATGTTAAGACCTCCAAAAGCATCTCCAGATGTCACGCAGTCCCCTATGCAAATCATAGTGGTACTTCTGCAGAGTCAGCAAAATCCATCCAAAAACTCATGTGAAATCATAAAGGCTCCTTAAAAAATAAAAAACCATCTTGAAAAAAAACAAAGTCTCACATTTCCTGCTTCAAAATGATCATACAAAGTGCTGCTACAAAGTGATCATAATCCAGCCAGATGTGAACATACACATATAGAGACCAATGGAATGGATTAGCCAAAAATAAACGCTTAAATATACGATCAAAAAATTTCCAGCAAGAGTGATATGGTTATTTTAAAATGGCTAAGGTAGTTAAATGGTTAAGATTGCTAGCATAACTTTTATGTAATTGATATTTCACCACAATTTAAATATATAGGAGATCCAAACTCTACTAAAGCAGACACAGGTGTGTACATATCTGCTTCTATTTCATATGCAGGCATATATGTGTCAAAGCAGATGCACCAGACTTCTAATATTGATTATCTCTGCAGTACTAGTTTGGGTAAGATGTGTTAGGTTGGGGAGGAGAGGCAACATTTTTTTTTCTGCATGTGACTCTGTACTGTCTGACTTCTCACAATGCATACCCATTAATAGTATATATATTTAATTTAACAAAATCAGAAAGCGATTTGCAGGCAAAGGTCGTTGAGGGCTTCAGTGGGCAATGCACACACCGGTGACGGAAGACAGGAATGCTAATTAGATGCTATTACCTGCACAAACCAATCAGAGAGATGGATTTGTGTGGATGCTGATGAATGGAACGATCCCTCAGTTTTGGGTGACACTAAGATTAGTCTTCCCACGTTTGAGCAAATTGTCCATGAAATCATGATCATGACTGCGTGACCATGGAGGAAGTGAACGTCCAGTTCAGATAAACTGCATCTGAAGGTTAACAAGGGACAGCTATGACAAAGCAAGTGGGGCTGTGTTTAACCGTGTCTGTCTGCCACGTAACTTACTGCCCTCCCTGGCTTCCGGGATGCACCTTCTCTTAGTCCCAAAGGCAAAGGAAAAGCATAATGAGCCTTAATTGAATATAGACCAAAGCAAACAATGAAATGCTAATTAGAGTTGTCTAAACAACTTAGGGGAGGGCCAATGGGAGCCTGTCTTTGCAAATGACATCCAGGAAAGATGCTAAATGCTAGGCAAACAAACAGCTCTGAGGAATATATAAAGGCCAGGAGTCAAAGGTGCAGTCAACACACAAACTTCTCTTAACAACTCCACTCTCAACGCAACTGCTCACACCATGGCCTGCTGCGCTACTAGCTTCTGTGGGATTCCCAGCTGCTCTACCACTGGGAACTGCGGCTCCAGCTGCAGCCAGCCCAGCTGCTGCCAGACCAGCTGCTGCCAGCCAACCTGCTGCCAGACCAGCTGCTGCCAGCCAACCTGCTGCCAGACAACCTGCTGCCAACCCAGCTGCTGCCAGTCAACCTGCTGCCAGCCCAGCTGCTGTGGAACCAGCTGTGGCCAGGAGGGTGGCAGTGGTGCTGGTAGCGCCGTGAGCTGCCGCACCAGGTGGTGCCGCCCAGACTGCCGCGTGGAGGGCACCTGCCTGCCCCCCTGCTGCGTGGTGAGCTGCACACCCCCAACCTGCTGCCAGCTGCACCACGCTCAGGCCTCCTGCTGCCGCCCGTCCTACTGTGGACAGTCCTGCTGCCGCCCGGCCTGCTGCTGCTACTGCTGTGAGCCCAGCTGCTGCCAACCCAGCTGCTGCGAGTCCAGCTCCTGCCAGCCCACCTGCTGCGAGCCCACCTGTTAAGACCAGCTTGCTGACCACTCAAGAATGGAAGAATAGCAAAGCAAACCTGCCGATCTAAGAAGTGCTGCTGCCAGTGGACCTGTGCTAAGTATCCCAATGCTGATAAACCACTCATAAGTGACAAGACTCTTAGAGCCCTGGATGTGCTGACTAGGCTTACTGCAAACATGGCCCGAACGCTGTGCTCTGCTGACCCTGCCCGGCTGGAGCTGAACACCTCAATGGCAGCTCTTCCTTTCAATGACCTCTCAGCTCTCTCCCTGTCTCTCAATCTCTGTGCATCTTAAAGTCCACTTTCTCCTCAAACAGCCCTTCTTCCTATCAAATAAAACACTCAGATATGCAAAGCGAGCGACCCCTGTCTTTCTTCCGCCGGTATGTGTGTCTACCTACCAGAACTCGGAAACATGTTTCCTATCCTGATAATCATCTTGAACTGTAAACATATTGTCCAGATTAAATGCAATTTAAATCATGCTCGAAAATATCCCATGCATTCCATAATCTTCATAACTACTCAAATACTTCCATACTCTGATCAAATATATTATAATTAATCTAGGCAAACATAGCCACTTTTAGTTACAATATTCAGGCTGCTCAAAGGAATGAGTGCTTGCCTAAATGAACTCCTGTAATTTCTTATTATATGACATGCTGGATGATCTCCCTTATTCACACCCCACATTAATAAATCACAGTACTCGCTTACAGATTTGAAAACATCTACCAAACACCATTTAGTTTTCAAGTTGTAATTCTTACCCTCTAACTCTCTCGTTCCTCCTCCCATTCCCCACGTGGTCAAGTTTCAGCTCACAGTGTCACTGCATGGTGCCTCTCTGGTCTGATGACTGTAGGACAAACAGCTATGCAGGGTCGCTGGTGACCACTTTGGACAGGCAAATAGAAATCTGAAACTGCTGTACCACGATCTGTAAGTCAACAGACACACTTTTCTTAAGAAGAACCAAAAGCAAGAGGCTTTACTATTAATTTTCCAAATTCTTCTTGAGGCACTTGAGTGCAACATATAAAATACAGCAATGGGAAAATCTAAGAAAATATTTCTGAAGTGATTCACAAGCTCCCAGCGCTTACCTTGGATGGACCACGCACAAGCTGATAGGTTCAGAAAAGACCAAAGTGGGTACCAGTGCAGTCACCAAAGTGTCATAACTCCTGGGTGTTTATTCTTCTCTCTCTGTTTTGGTTCAACTCTCAAATTCAGATAAAAATAATCCAACATTTTCCAGTCTCTTTTCAGAGCAAATAACAAGTCTCCTTCCTGGGAGGCTCTGGGAGTCTTACTGAGTCCTTTGTGAGCTGCCAGGGTCCCATGACTCACACCTTTCCTCCACCCATTTAATGTGCATCTATTGAATTAAGAGCCAATAAAAATTTTGTAAGATTCCACCAGAAGCTAAGCATCCACCAGAAACTAAGAACACCCTCTTCTTCACTACATCATTTGGTTCACAAGAAAAGCTTATTGGCCTAGAACACAAGATTTTCACTTTTCAAATGGACTGAAACCAAAGGAGGGGTGATGGGTTTTTGATATGATGCAGGAGTAAACATGGTAGAAGTTTTAATCCCTCGTGACCAAAATACTGTGGCAGTTTTACAAATAATCTGATGGTCTAAATTCAATGAAATTCAATCCACCTATTCAGGAGGGGAAAAAATAATACTTGACTATAGCACGAAAACTGCCCTAAGCTTTGAAGTCTGGGCAGATTGTCCCGTGGAATGACTGCTATTCACAGAGAAGGTGTGGACTTGATGTAAAACAGGAGGTCTCTTTGAACTACAGAAACCACAAGCATATTCTAAAAAGCTAAGGGCTGATAGGAGGAGTCCCCACCACCTTATAAAGTAATTTCCAAACTGTTGCTCATAATGTGCCACAAGTATTTCAGTGGGAGCCAATCAGAGGACCACTGAGGGATAAATTTAAACAAAAACAAGAAAAATATGTGAAGAATTCTATAAAGAGCAGTGGGCTCTGGGTATATAAAAAGCCCAGTGTGGAGGTCACCTCCAAACCTCTGAAGCTTCTCTACTTCTCCAAAGCAGCACAGCTCCCAACCCAGCTCCCCACACCATGGCCTGCAGCTCCACCAGCTTCTGCGGATTCCCCCACTTCTCCACCTGTGGGGTCTACGGCTCCAGCTGCTATGAGCCAAGCTGCATTGGCACTGGCTATGGCATCAGGGGTGGCATTGGTTTTGGCCAGGAGGGTGGCAGTGGTGCCGTGAGCTACCGCACCAGGTGGTGCCGCCCAGACTGCCGCGTGGAGGGCACCAGCCTGCCCCCCTGCTGCGTGGTGAGCTGCACACCCCCAACCTGCTGCCAGCTGCACCACGCCCAGGCCTCCTGCTGCCGCCCGTCCTACTGTGGACAGTCCTGCTGCCGCCCAGCCTGCTGCTGCTACTGCTGCGAGCCCACCTTTTAACAGGCAGGTGCTAATTTTCAATGCCCAAGGCACAGAATCTCTGCACTGCTCATCTCTTGGACCGGACCTGGACCCCAGCACTTCTTAGAGCTTTACTTCATTTTCTGCTTCGGTGGAACTGAGTCTGTGAGCAGCACAGTTCCAGCTGGCTCCGTTCTATAATAAGCACCTTGACCACTGTGGACACAGGAATGCTGGGACTCTACTGTGTGACAGCCAGATTGCTTCACGGGCTCGACAACTGCCAGCACATTGTGGAGTCTTCCCACGAGAACTGTCTGCAACCCTGCCTCCCCTCTTACCACCTATTTACACCTTCTGCTTGCCTAAAAAGTTTCTCCAGTGTCAGGGGCACCACAGTGTAGCCAAGATACGTTCCTCTAAGCCATCAGTGAGAACCGAAGCTCTGCAGCCAACCTCCAGCTCTGTTTTATTGTACTGTGTCTTCTCATGTTTCTTAATAAAAGTTACATTCTGAGCACAGAAGTGGTGGTCTGTGTTTCTGCTTGGACATCTACTGTTTCAGTTTAAGAATGTAAATATAAAGCGTTACTTTGTTACCCTTTTTAAAAAGGATAAAGGTCTTACATAATGTATTCAATAAATCTATACTGATTATCACTTTTAAAGCTGAGATGACAGAGACCAAAAAAGTGAAGGATTAATTCTTACTCCTCAGGAACTTGCTATTCAGAGAGAAAAAAAAATGTGTGTGAAAATAGCCACATACAGTGACAGAAGATAAATTGTATTCTCTTAGCTATCCATAGAAGAATTTTTGGGGGGTGAACAGATGGCTCAGTGGTTAAGGAACCTTGATAGACCAAATGACAACAGGGTACATCCCTGTGGGACATGCAACCCCAAAAGCTTAAGAGAAGGATGTTAAACAATTTCGCATGAGACAGAGCGGATGTTTTTTATCTAGAAAGTAAGGAAAAAGGAGAAGAAAAGGTTGACGTGGTCAGGAGGTCATGAACTTTGTTACATGGCTCCTCCTCCCCATTAAGCTGACTCGATTCTTGGGATGGTTAATTCTGGTGTGAAATCCAGTGAAGGAGCTGAGCTTTGAGTCCGTACTGGTTCACAGGAAGATGGAAAACAGCCTGCGAGCCAGACAAAGGGGAAGTAGTGCCTTGGGAAGACACAGGAATCTTCCAGAGGCTTGGGCTCCCTCCTGCAAAGCAGAGTCATAGTGTTTGCGTGTGTGGACTGCAAGAAGAATACCACAGGACCAGAAACTGGGTTGCAACGAGGAAGATACAAGCTTTACTTTGGGTAGCATAAGGACTGTGATGGAGGCAGCACGAGGGAAAAATTTCCATGGGTTTCAAAACTGGCTTTGATGGTCAGAAGTACAATTACAAGGAAGGTTCAATCCAAAGCAACGACCACAACAGACACTGCGAGGACAGGGAGCCTCGGGAACTCTCCGTGCTGCTAGGGGTACAAACAGCACGGCCCTTTTGTGGTGCCTTCTTATAAAACTAAACAAACCTTTACTACACAGCCCAGCAATGTGCTGTGCTCCTGAGTCTTTACCCAAAGGAGCTGCAAAACTCTGCTCCCAGGGACTTCATTTGTAACTGTCAAATACAAACGGGAATTAAACAAGACGCCCTTCAGCTCTGAACAGGTGAACTGGGGACGTGCATTCCATGGAACCCGGAGGAACCTTTGTTTTAATTTTAAAACCAAAATAAAAGAAATAACACAGAATTTCAAAGAAAAAAGTAGGAAATTAACACTAGTTAATATATTGCATACTGTTATCTTAGCAGTAGTTGTTGCAGGGGGAGGAGCAAAGATGGTGGATAGATAACAACTAGCTACAGAGGCTCCCTGAGATAATCAACTTAGAATTCAACATAATACAGCATGGGGACCCCCAAACAGAGGGAGATGAATTCTCTCATCCCAAGAAGAAATTAAGGTGACTTGCCGACCATCAGAGGTCCCGCTGTGACTGGCTGGGGTCCCGCCACCACTTGCCAAGCTGTCCGAGGTCCCACTGCTTTGACTCACTGTAGGCACAGTTACATTGAGTTCGAGGGTCAGCAAGCTGAACGGAGAGCTGACGGGGAACCTACATCGACCTGTGGTGAGTGACAGGAGTGGAGCCACTCTTATAAATAGGGGGGCTCCAGCAAATGATATTCTGGGACCAGGCAGGACTGGCAAGTACAAGGGGCAGCAGTGACTTCAGTCAATTGTCCCCTTCCCGAATGGGATTGGTGGAGTGAGCTAGGCCTGGGTCACGTGAACCGGCTGAGACCCAATAAGTTATCTGAGGTCAAGTCCCTGCAGCGGTGTCGCCCTCTAACCACACTGGCCCAGTGGGGCCTCAGAGGTTTGGCTGGTCTGGAGGGGGGGCCATGCAAAGTAATACAGTAAGGCAGGCCACAGCAGCTTGACTGATCTGGAGGGGAGGGGCCAGCATACACTGTCCCTGTCTGCAACTCACTAGCACACTGCAGTGTGAAGAGTCATCTAGCCAGTGCACTTCAGAAGAATTGTAACCAACGAAGAAAGAAACTGGGGCCTCCTGGAAGAAGCAAAAAGATGGGAAGAGGAAGCAACAAAAAAAAGTCCCCAGGCCCCAACCCTGAGAACACTGACCCGGGATAGGTAAATACCAAGGAGAATGAGAACAGCAAACATGCAATATCAGACACAGCAACAGTGGACATAAAGAGATACATTCGGGACCTCATAGATGAATTCAAAAGTGAAATGTTTGGCCAAATAAAGCAAGATATAAGAAGATTAATAAAAGAGATACTCAGCACTCTTCAAGCAGACCCAGACAGAAGAAGGGAGGAACTCAAACACAGGAGAGTGCCATGTGGTGAAGAATATAAAAAAAATATAGAATACATGAAGCAGATTCAAAGAGATCACCAGGAAATTAAAAACTTTATGGAAAGATGGCAAATCAGCTTGAAAGAAACTAAGGATAGATTATCCAAACTGGAGGACAATTTTGCAATGTGGGAGTATGAAAGGGAAAACTTTTTAAAAATAACAAGTAACAATACAAAGGCTAGCAGATGACAAAAGGACCTATAATTTGAGAATAAAGAATGTAAATGAAGAAGCAGGGGTACAAACAAAGGAACTACAAAGGTGATTCACAGAAATAATTAAGGAAAACTTCCCAAACATAGGAAAAGGAAATGATATTCTGATATATGAGGCATACAAAACTCCAGCCACCTACAACCAAAACAGAGCTACACCCAGGCATATAATAATCAAGATCCCAGAAATTCAATATAAGAACAGAATATTAAAAGCTGTTAGCAAGAAACAGACAAGAAACAGATAATCTACAGAGGAAGGCCCATCAGAATAACAGTAGACTTCTCAACACAAACCATCAAGTCAAGAAGAGCCTGGAGTGAAATATTCCAAGCCCTGAAAGAAAATAACCTCCATTCCAGATTGATATACCCTGCTAAACTGTCTCTAGAAATTAATGGGGAAACAAGATGTTTCCAAGACAAAGAGGAACTTGGGAAATTTGCAACCACCAATCCAACTCTACAGAGAATACTCCAGGGCATTCTAGAGAGAGAGAGAAGTACTAGGACTCCAGGAACAGTGGCAGAGAGGCCTCAGTGAATGGAGAAGAAAACAGAATGAAGAAGATAAGCAGACAACTGATGGCAAAAAAAGAGCATAACAAATGAGGCAGAGAAGATTTTATTCAAAACTGCTATGATTGATAGTATCAAGTCTGAGAGTATAGGCAACTACACTGAAGATGACAAGACTCTACGATACACATTCTGGTTTGATTACAGCTGGTTTTTGAAGTTCTATACTATACACAAAGTTGTGTTTTAATTAATACTGTTATGTACTGATATATTCAATTATACTCTGTCTGATGATATAGCCAGTTCTATTGGAGATAACAAAAGACAACACAGGAACTATGTTAGAATGATTTGTACAATGGTCTTATATGTATATTTCATTTCATGTGTTTATAGGAATATGTTTTGTCTTGCCTTGCTTTGTTTTGTTTCTCCCTCTAATATAGCAAAGATAGAAATACATGTTAAGACTCATGCATGTGTAGAATCTATAAACAGTTTATGAGAACTGATCATATGACACATGATGAAATGAACAGATAATCTGAAGAAAAAGAGACACTAAAATACCCAGTGGTGATCCTGGAGTGTCATAATGTGAAACCCAGCAATAGTATTATTCTTTGTTCAGAGTGATATTAGCCTGCTTGGGTTTATTCAATCTAAACATAAATGAAGATATGGATAACTGCATGTTGTATAAGTGTATAGGTTTGACAACCATGTTACTAAGTTTTTGTTGGACAATGAACAGAACTGTTTGCAGTCTCGCTGTTTGAATTTCCACTTTACATGTTCCATTTTTGTATCTTGAACAACTATTTGTAAAACGACAATATGTAAAAATCGACTAGTGATTTCTTACTGTTTATTTTTTTTCTCTGAATGTGTGCATTATTTCTACCTATTTTGTTTTGTTTAGTCTTTCTTTTAAAAAAATTTTTAAAAAAAGTAGTTGTTGTAGTCAGGGAAATCTTAAATGCATATTTCTAAGTGAAAACATCAGCTTGAGAAGGTTGCACACTATATGATTCCACCACCCACCGTGTAAAAGTCAAAACTCTGTAGCAGTAGAAATTTGCCAAAGCTTCCTGCCTTCTGTTTCCTGGGAAGGAGGTGCAAGCTTAAGAATTAAATAAAATACAGAAACAGAGACACGGGGCTTCCAGTGTGACCAAACCACAGTCAGTGGGGTTTCTGAGAAATCCACTTGTTCATAGATAAAAGGGCACACGTGCACAGGGCTCCTACTTCTGCCACCTGCAGCCACAAAACCTCGCAGGAATGGAAGAGACGTGGAAGAAATGGAAGAAAAAGCTGTTTTTATCAAGCCAGTGTTTGTTGAGCTTTTCCAAAAACTTGAAACGGAGACTATTCCTAATTCTCACCTTATGCAACAGGTAAAATAGGACACCCAAGGAGAGTTGAGTATGTACCCAAAGATTTGGTCATAGCAAAAGGAAATCAATTTCAAATGCCAAAGCAGAAATGGGAGAATTTCTTCGACTGAGGGTTATTGATATTGGGGCAGATCCGTGGTCAGCAAAAGGATGGAGGAAGAAGAGGATGAAGGTGTGAAAAGAGCAGAAAAGAATGAAAGAGGACAGAAAGGAATGAAACAGAGGAGAGAAGACATGATGAAAAATGACCCTAGTGGGAGAAAGGAGTTGAGGAGAAGAGGCCGGGGAGCCCCTAACTGTGCCCCAAGCTGTGCTTAGCATCCATTGTTCACGTGAAAAATACTTACACCTGTGCTGTGATGTGTGTGTGCTCAGTGTGCACACAGAGAAACGCGTCTAAAGAACTCAAAAAGCGGGCGTAGGGGCACATACCTGCCATCCCAGTACTCAGGAGGCTGAGGCAGGAGGATCCTTGCAAGTTCAA